GCGGCTGTCAAGTATGGCGCCAGCCAGCTCGCCATATTCCATGTGCCGCGCCGGGGCTACTTCGCTACTCAGCAGGTGTGTACGACGCCTACATTACGGGAGGCGTAGAATTGACAAGTAGCGACCTACCAAAGATGTGCCCACACAAGCGAGCTTTTATCCTAGAACATGGCATAATTGGAGACGATCCCTCCAGCGGTTCACTATATGTATCTTGTAAGCTAAGCACGAAATATCTTAGTTCAGACTTGTACTGAACTAGGGTGATCTCTCAGGTCCTATGCACAAACGAAATTTTGCACTTAGCACAGGAGCATGCCTCAATGACGATTCTTACAGTATTCTTACATTCAATGTCAAGATCGAGGACGATCAGGTCTTACTGCTCCTCCCGGAAGCGAGTGAGCTCGAAGAGATCATTGGGACGAGCAGATGGATGGTGCGACGAGCAACTGCCGAACTTATAGACGAACGCTTGGATGGAATTGAGATTGTGGGTTCGACGAGTGAAGGATGCGATGGGACGTCATCGGCATGCGGAGTAGTTAGCAAGCTCGAATGGTAAATAAAATCCAGTAGTGAAGGAGCTCGAGCCGCCAACAGGAATAATAACAAAGTTCGGCGAGAATACACCAATCTCATGCACAATGTGTTCATACAACAGGACTATCGTCGATGATTAGACCTGGAACAGGATAAGGTGCTGGACTAACGGGATTGTCAACACATTGTACGTTGTTTGGAGCAACACGTGCGGGTATAATGGGTATGTCTTCATGGTTCCTTGGTTCGTCTGACCAGCAACGATCTTGAATGATTGTGACGTGTGATGAGTAAATCAACGAGACATTGGGTTTGCAGAGAGTGCGCAACTAAGCTTTAGTCCCCGACGTTTTCTCCTCTAGCCTAGAAAGAGGATGCCATCACATAGTCATAAGCTTGGTGTGAGGAACGCGAATGTTGAAGAGAAACTTACTGAGATGCGGAAATGATGGTGTTCGCGATCACTGCGGCTTTCTCTAGTGCGACGGGACATGTGAGAGTGCCCCGTTCCAATAACCGGGGGGAACGGCGACGAGACATCCTCTTCGATGGATTGCTGCCGAATGTTTTCTATTTACAGCAAAAGACATCAGCCCAGAGCGAAAAATATTAGGCGAACCATGACGCACCTGGAACAACTCGAAGGTCTTGGAGAACAGCGTAATTGTCTCCTTGTCGTCAAACACAGTGAAGAAGGAGCCATCTGCACCAGCAGTCACGTTGATGCCGGCTTGAACGTTCACCGAGCCACCAAACTGATCCGCAGAGGCATTCCCAGACGCCAGATTCCCGTGTAATGCGAGGTTCAGCTGCGTGAACGCGTTGAGATCGAGGTTCACAGTAGCTTCGGCAATACCGTCAAGAGCATTGAGTCCGAATGAGATCTGTAGAATCTATGATCAAAATGCGAACTAAACAATGTGTGTATGATACATACACTTGGAATCAAGCTCGCCGTGAGTGTCGTGTCCGAAGTTGCATTCGGAGAAGCGGCAAGCTGAAAAACTATCTGGTAGTGAGAATTTCATCCCGAATCATCAACTAGTACCGTACTAGTATTTCCTGGTGTGAGATCGCCTCCGTTCGTGTAGTTAGTATCCGGAAATACAAACTGGGCGTTGTTTGCGGTATAATTGAACCCGACATTCAAGTCCAGGTCAATATCGAGAGCCGCAGTGGCCTCAACGGCAATCTGGAAGGTGGGACCAACAGTCAAGATGCTACAGGAACGCTCAGTGATGACTTAGCCCTATTGTCTGATTCAGTCACTTACCCGGGAATATCAAGTCCTGGTATTCCAATCGAGAAGATCGGGATAGCTCCAGTAGATAAAGTAGTCTGGATCATGGACAGTAATCAGCATGACTGAGACTGTTGATAGTTCATTCAAGTGGTGAATACTTGCCGATGCAGAACTGTTGATAGACAAAGCGCCGTCCACAAATCCGTTCAAACCTAATACCGCATTCAGAGGTCATGTTTAAAGTTCTTCAAATGAAGCACCATCGTACCTCCATAGAGAGCGAAAGTCGTAATCTCTGGGGGCACGACTGACCCTGCAGCAATGACACCGTAGTAGGCGGACATATTTGCATTGACATCTACCTCGACTGAAACCTGCCCAGTAAAAGGAGGGATAGTACCAACGGCGGGACAAGCAATCGACTCGTTGAAGATGACAGCCTGTTTGCTCTCAGTGATGTTAGGCACAACCTGTGTAATGTTCTTGTCGAATGCTGTCGCTTCTACAACCCATTTAACAATATACGGGTCGAGGACAGCAGAGTACTCACGAGTAATAGAGCCAGTCAACCCGCTAACTAATCCCGATAGGTCACGGTTAACTACTTGAGGAACGTTGGAATAATTGAGAGTATTAGCATTAGGTGCGGAAGTCCCATGGAAGAAGAAAGAGACACTGCCGGCTCTGAAAGGATTACTATTGAGATTCAAGACAAGAACAGACAGGCTGATTACTGACTCTGAGGGATCGATCGCACTGAAGCTGGTATCCAAACTAATCCCTTTCACAGTTGGATAATCATCACGACGAGAAAACCTGCCACGACGACTGAGAGGCGATGTCTGATTGTCATGGTCCCAAATGTTAGCTACGCGAGCGAATGGCATAGTCGTGCACTGCAGGTAGGTTAGGATGACAATCACTCAAGAGCGGACAAACGAACATTCTCAGGTAAGCGGACGATCGTGCCAACTGCGTTCCCTTGATAGAGATGATCGCATCCTGCAGTGCTATTGACGCAAGTTGCACGGATGTCTTGTGCGGTTCCAGTGGAATTGCAATCCAAGATTGCCCATCCAGCCGCCTCGGTAAGGTCGGAGATGGCGCTCGAGGCACCTGTCTAAACGAGACGATCTCATATTAGAAGAATCAGACTAACAAATGAGCAAACTCACAAGATGAACACTTCCGGTAACCGGACCACTCAAATCATAGGAACAAGACCCATCGAAGCACGGTTTTGACCAATCGTTCACAGCCTGAGCTGAGAGAGCAAGTAGCAAAACAGAAAAGAAGGAAGTTGACACCATGGTGATCAAACACAAATTCAAGTACCAGACTGAGAAATCAAAGACTCAAGGCAAACCCGAACGAACGAACGAAAAAAAGAAGCCGAATAGAACCAGTCGACTTGGAGAAAGTTGTTAGACATCCGTGGAGGGCCGCAGGCATGCTTTATACACATCGATGAGACAAGTCAGACGGCGTAACTAGTAGCAATGCCACATTGATCCAGCAAAATCAGTCGACTGATTCGCACGGAAACAAATGTATGGCCCCTGCGAATAGCGAAGGTTAATCGAGCAGATTTTATGGCAGCGAGTAAAACGAATGGACATCAAATTGGCGTACTGGACGGCAAGCACTCCTGCCCGAGTCTCTGCAGCCCTCTACGAGATGTTTTCATAACAAGACCTACCACTTTCCCCGATAGCCTATTTTAGTAATGTTGCATGCAAAATCCGATCCCCAGAGTCGATACGTTCCGTCCGTGCGAGCTCAATGCCGTCGGACAACACGAAATGATGGCACCCGACGGCGACACAAGGCCCTCGACATCCGGCCCGCATCGGTAGCGAGGCTGAACGATGCAAACGTAGTCGACAATACCAAGCGAGCGACGAGTAAACGAGCCTTGATCGCAACTGCCAACGATCCTCTAGCGCCTGTACGGCAGTAAAATCCTAATCTCCATGCCGCTCTTTGGCGCTTGCCTGTGAGCCAATGGCCAGCCGATGGTTAGAAACGAGCGTCAAGGGTAAGGGTAAACGACAACCGATTTCAGTAAAACCATCCTAGGCGCTGAAAACATACAATGCAGTAGTCTACTATACACTCACCATCCTGCCTTCATTCCAGGTAACACGATCTCACGGGCGTTAAGGCGCATAACGAGTTCCGTACACTCCTTCCTGTATAGCTTTGATTTCTAGAACGATGGGAAATGAGCTTCTAAAGTAAAAAAAAATAGCATACACAGATGCTCACGGAGAGCCAGATGCTTTGAGTGAAAGCGACACGTAGCAAGATCGCCTGTGCCATGGCGTTGAATATAACACTGATACATTAAGAATGTAAAGACATACCTTTCATGAACCAAAAGTTGGGCACGCCCAAGTAGCGCCAAGCGCCATATGCCTCGCCTTCTTCGTTCAGATCCCACATTTGCGATATTTTGGATCCAAGATCTTCTCCAACAAGCCTGAAAATCGCAGCTCGCGCACCATCGAAGCTAGTCGTTGCGTGGCGCACTCAGAACAACTCCATGCTGACAGCTGCGAGATATGCTCACCCTGTGGCAAACAGGACGACGTCGACGTCTAATTCACTGCCATCCGTGAACAAGAGACCAGTCTTGGTGAAACGCTCGATCTGGCTGTCATTCTTCAACTTGATTTGGCCATCTATGATCTTCTGGCAGCTGCCGACATCTTTCCACCATGTCAGCCCGTACGATGACTTCCCATGGGTGGAAGATCGGCCCATAGCAACTCACCTAGGTAATAGCCCCCACCACGAGTCATAGCGTTATACAAAAAACCAGATCCGTCCTGGCCAAAATTCAGTTTGAAACCCGCCTTCTTCAATCCCTCCAGTATCTGCCTGTGGACTCAGCTACTCAGCCCAGATTGATAGTCATAAGGTGGTAACTCACTTGTCTGCTTCTGCAATTTCTGATGTAAGGCGTACGTGCATCTCCTTCAGCATGAACGCGGGTAGCGAGGCGTGCACACGGTCGGAGACTTCGGTAGGACCCGCGCCTTCCCAGAACGTGTCTGGATCAGACGAAATCAGACATCTGCCACCACAGGAACCAAGCTGTCGATACAACATACCTTTGAATAGACGAGGCATTCCTTCCTTCGTCGACATAATATAAGTTGAGCTTCTCTGGAACAGAGTCACATCTTAATTGTCGTCACATGAATCTACCTTATACCATCACAGTGAAATCCAGTCGACGCACCTACACCATGATCGACATAATCGGCAGCTATGTCATGGGCTGTGCTGTGGCATCAGAAAACAGGCGACCAGGCATATGCTCATTACGACATACCTGATGTACAAGCGCCAACAACGAGCACTTTCTGTCCTACATGATCTCTGGCTGACTTGTGCTGACTCGAGTGCAACACCTGTCCTTGGAAATCCTCCTGTAATAAGGTCGTCAGTGACCAAAATCCAGTCACATGTGAACATATTTACCTGACCAGGGATCTTTGGCATCTTGGGCACACCACCTCCGAAGCCAACCGCTATTATAACATGATCAGGGTGAAAAATCCGCTCCGTTCCATCGCTCTTCCTCACGACCACCTTCCACTTGCCTCCCTTCGGCTCAGCATGTATCACAGTCGCTGACGTCCAGACATTGAGTTCCATGGCTTCGGCATAGTATTCGAACCAATCCGCAAGCTGAAAAAACATCGTAAAAATATGATATAACTACATATCCATACAACTGACCTTCTGTGCCGGCGTATAGACAGGCCACGAAGGCGGAAACCTACAGAATAGACTTCAGAAGAGCAACAGGAGGATGTACACGCCAAACCCTTACGGCATATATGGTAGGTGATCAAACCCTGTGTAAAAGAGCACTAAGTAAACCGCGTTGTAGTACGGGAAGTGACCTACAAACAGGATCATGAAGGCAAAGTGACTCGTATCGGAATCTCCACTGGTCGCCAATCCGGCCCTGTCGTTCTATCACAAGAGT